AAACCCAACTTAGGGTTTTGAAAGGTTCCGATTAGGGTTTTGTCAAAAATGAATATATAAGGAAATTAAATAAATCTTAAAACTTCATTTGCAACATAAATAAACCTTCATTCACATATCAACAAACTTAAGGACTAATCGGGGTCTCACAACCTCCCCCTCTTAAGACAATTTCGTCTTCGAAATTATTACCTTGATTCTCGAATGGAGCAGGGTACTTTTTCTGCATGTCATCTTCCACCTCCCAGGTGGCCTTCTCCACATCATGGTTCCTCCATAAGATCTTCACCAAAGGTATCTGCTTTTTCCTCAACTCCTTCACCTTTCGATCCAAAATTTGTACCGGTTGCTCTTCATAGGTGAGGGTCTCGTCTAACTCGACGTCCTCTGTGTGTAGGATGTGTGTGGGATCTGGATGATATTTCTTCAATAATGAGACGTGAAAGACATTATGGATTCGGGAAATAGTAGCTGGTAACTCCAACTGATACGCCACTGTCCCGACTCGCCGTTGAATCCTATACGGTCCTGTATACCGAGGTTTCAACTTCTTCCCCTTCTTGGCCACAATCGTTCCTCGGAGTGGTGTTACCTTGAGAAATACCATGTCTCCCTCTTCGAACTCCAGATCCTTTCTTCGGTGATCGGCGTAACTCTTCTGCCGACTTTGAGCCATCTGTATTCTCTGGCGAATAATTTTAACTTTCTCTACTACTTCTTCGATCCATGGCACCGTAGTTGAATCCAAGATCTTTCTTTCGCCGACTTCATCCCAAAAGATCGGTGAGCGACACTTACGTCTATATAGTGCTTCATATGGTGCCATTTGTATGGAAGAGTGGTAACTATTATTGTATGCGAATTCTATTAATGTGAGGTGTTGGCTCCAATTTCCCCCAAAGTCCATTACACACGATCGGAGCATATCCTCAAGAGTTTGTATCGTTCGCTCCGATTGCCCATCTGTCTGAGGATGGTAGGCTGTACTTAGATTGAGTTTAGAGCCTAAGGTCTCTTGCATCCTTTGCCAGAACCGTGACATGAATCGTGGATCTCGATCCGAAACTATGCTCACGGGTATGCCATGTAGTCGTATAATTTCGTCCATATACGGTTGAGCTAGTTTTTCTAGGGTGTACTTCATGTTCACGGTTAGGAAATGAGCTGATTTGGTCAAGCGGTCCACAATTACCCAAATGGTATCATGCCCCTTTTGTGTTTGCGGTAAACCGGATACGAAATCCATAGTAATGTGCTCCCATTTTCACTCAGGTACTTCTAACGGTTAGAGCAAATCTGATGGTTTTTGGTGCTCAGCATTTATTTGCTGACAGGTTAGACATGTTTGCACAAACTGAACGATTTCCTTTTTCATGCCATCCCACCAGTACAAACTCTTCAAATCGTGGTACATCTTCATCGTACCAGGATGTACTGTGTACTGCGAGCGGTGAGCTTCTTCTAATAGCTCTTTGTTGATATCCGTATCCTGCGGTATAACTGTGACGACCCCACCTCCCCCTAAGGCGTACCAAAGGGTTCGGCGGACCGCCTGCCCAACTCTCGCCAGGACTCACTCACTATCTTAATCGAGTCACGTACACACATCCATGAACCATAAATAACATTCCCAATTCAAGCTTATAACTTACATTAATAGAAATCGAGGTATAAAGTTTCAACACACCCAACTAGTTCAATACGTATACAATCCAAGTACAACATGTTCCATTCGAGGAATAGCGCGAGTACAAGACCAAAAAGTCAAAAGTCAAAACAAAAGGCTACGCTAGTCTTTTACAAGTCTCACGCGTCACTCGTACCCCTGAAAGGAAAACAAATGGAGTGGAATGAGCTAAAAGTCCAGTGAGGTTCCAAATAGCAAATTGACCATTATTTAGAAGTACAAGTTTTCGGTATAGCAAAGTAACAAGCATGAAGAGTTCATAAATGTGAGCAATAACACGTCAAGTAGCAATCTTAAAATGAGCGAGTGTAGAAGTTTTTCAAAAGCAACAATAATCCAATAAACAATATTCACTCCAAAGTATAAGGATACGGATGACTCTCGGAGCCAAATTCCCGTTGCATTACCAGAAGCTTGATCACGTAGTAGTTGACACTCCGTCAACTTTCAAGTAAGTAACCAATCCAGTAGAACACCACTTACACGACTCTCCGTCCACCGTTCAAACCCCCAGCTGGGCCCAAAATCCTCAATAAACACGGGTGGTAATACTCGAGTATACCGATTAGTCGAGGAGACATCACTCCACTCGACAATACAAGAGACCCAGGGTTCGTTACCCAATCGACCAAGCCCTTGCCGGCTCGACTAGAGTAACTAGCCACAAGGTTTCTGGAATTCCAGGAAGTGCGCACATCATAATCAAGTATATCAAGTCAATTGCAACAATAAACAAGTATATCACGTAAGGGCAAGTGCGATAAAGTACACTCTTGCCCTATCAATTCATGTATATAACATGTACTCATATTGGTCACGTATCAAGTTCAAGTATCTAGTGCAATTCGGTATTTGAAAGCACTTACCAAAAGATATAGTGCCTTTACTGGTCACTTTCAGGTTATACTCCGGGTTCGGAGTCCAAATCTGCGATAAAACTCAGTTTGAGAACTTTGAAACATGACTAAGATTCGAAACTTAGACGTTTCGTTCAATAAAATCAAGAAATTGAAATTCACTCGGATGGTAGTCGTGAAACACTTGCTCGCTTTTTAAATGGTAAAACTTTGTAACATTTATACTTGAAAATGCCATGCAAGTCGAAAGTATAAGGAAAACATACTCCGAGCAATCATTATTTCATTTCTCAAGGATACAAGTTCGGCCAAGTCCTTCCTTATATACCCTGGAACAAAAATACTCAAGTACCCTAGATGGTTCAAGTACTATTCATATCAATTCGACCCAAGTCGCAAGTGTATTTATATAGTCCTCGAGCGTAAATTCGGGCAGCATGCCCTTTGTGTTTACCTAATTTTCCAGCCATTTAGGCTTCATTATTTTTCTCAACCACAACCCAACATCACATATGTCAACAATTCATGTCCAGAGCCGTTCCATAGGCTTACAATATCATAATAACAAGAATCACAACAATGACAAGTGCAGAAATTCAACTTAGCACAAGACAGATTTGACGTACGAATGCGGAAATAACATATCCGAGGCTACGCTTATTGGATTGAGGCGTAACCTATGCCGTTTCGAAGCTAAGACACATAGCTACAATATTCATGAAAGTCACTTAGTCCAGTTCCTAATGTAACTTAGTCAAATTCTCGAATTACTAAACCAGAAACCAATTCGTCGGCTGTTTAAATGCAGAACACTGTAATGAACATAACTCAGTGTACACAAGTCCGAATTAGGTGTTCTTAGATGTATTTTAAAGCCAATTCAGAATACTACAACTTTTATTCTTTGACCTAAGGCCAATTCAGCCTCTATCATACAGATACAAATTCGGACAGAATGTTGAGCAAAAATTCCAGATTCTGAAATTTTGAGTTTCTAATGCAACTTTCCTTAATTTCTTGGTCCAATCACTACCAAAACACCTTATACAACCTCAATTGCAACATATAAGCATTATACAACAATTTGGGCAGAATTTCCACAAGCCCTAGTTCATCCAATAAATTGGGGAAAAACCTCTAAAACATGCTAATCATCCATGATTCCACCACTATAATAAACTACTAAACTTAATTTAACAAAATTGAAAGCAAAACTTAGAGAGATAAGCTCTCTTACCTTGAATAGAGGTCACAAAGAGTAGCCCAAGCTTCCTCCTTCCAAAAACTTACCACAAATCACCACCTAGTCACTCAAGAACAAGTTTAATCGGTTTACTTTGTTTATTTTCTCACTAAGTTGTTGGATTTGAAGATGAAATGAAGAAATTTCTCTCTTGTTCTTCCCCTCTCTCTCTCGGCTCCTTGGCAGAAATATGAAGAGAAATGGAGCTTAGTTACCTTATAATAAAGCAAGAGGATTAGGACTAATGGTGTCCACAAATTGGGCAAACACTTGGACTAATCTTGGCCACAAAATTTTCTCTTTCTTTCCCCTTGCATATGAACCACAATTTCGGTCAAGCTTGCTGCCAAGAGAGAAGATATTTTGCTCAAGTTCAATAAATTTGTTTGGTAAGCAAAAATGGTGGTCAAGTGGTGCGTTCAAACGGTAGTGCGCGGGACCCGCCGGTTCGCGCCGTTTTTCTTAAAACTCACGTACTAGGGTTTTTACTTCCCATTCACTAACCTTATATCATTGCTACTAATCACATATTATTTTCACTTAAAAGTCATTTTTAATCCCCAAAATGAATCCTTACTCTGTACCGAAAATTCATCCGGCGAAAAAATCGCGAAACCCTAATTTTGCTCCAAACTTGAAACCGAAGCGTGAAACCCTACTTTCTAGGATTATTTACACTTAGTGTGAAATAATTGGGTAGTGGCGCTTTGATAAATAGTAATTTTCAAATAAAAGGAAATTTTTAAGAAAACGTGAGGAATTTTCCAATTCCAGTAATTAAAATTAGGGTTTCAATTAAAATAGGAGAGATTTAGGAAAACCGGTTAGTCACAAGTAAACTAGGGTTTTGATTAAAATATTAGGGTTTCTAGTCTTTTAAAACAAAATAAGGTTTTAAATCAAACCCCAAAGAAATACATTTTAATATTTTCTTCACAACAACCTCCTAATATTCGGGATGTTACAATAACCAACCAATTTCTATACCTTAACATCCCATCTGAATCCACATTAAAGTTGGATATCATCCCTTTCTCGACTTTTCTTTCCATTTCTGTACCTGGGGTTCCTTCTTCTAAGCCTCCTTTATCTTAGGCAATAGCGTGGAAGTCACCATAATATTGCTAAACAACACTTTGTGTGGCTTGAGTTGAAGATTCCATTTCCCAGCTTTTTCTAGTAGATCCCACTCTTTTACCTATAGACTCAAAACCTAGGCTTTCCGGCTAAGGGCATCAGCTACTACATTAGCCTTACCAGGATGGTATTTAATGGTGCAGTCATAGTCGTCTAAGAACTCCATCCACCTACGCTGCCTCAAATTCAGCTCTTTCTGCGAAAATAAATACTTGAGACTCTTATGGTCGATGAAAACCTCAAAGGTTACCCCATATAAATGATGTTGCTACTTCTGAAGAGCAAATACCACCGCAGCTAATTCCAAGTCGTGAGTCGGGTAGTTTTGCTCATGGGGTTTCAATTTTCGGGATGCATAGGCTATCACTTGTCCATTTTGCATAAGTACACATCCCAAACCCATTCAAGACGCATCCGTATATACCACAAAGCTGTCTTTCCCGTTGGGCAAAGTAAGAATTGGTGCAGAAGTTAATCGCCCATTTAGCTCTTGAAAACTGGCCTCGCACTTCGAGGTCCAGATGAATTGATTGTGAATCTTAGTCAAGTCTGTTAGAGGTCCAGCTATCTTGGAAAAGTCCTTTATGAAGCGGCGATAATATCCTGCAAGCCCTAAAAAACTTCTAACTTCAGTTGGGCTCTCTAGCCGTTTCCATTCTGTGACGGCTTTCACCTTAGTGGGTCTACCGCTATACCATCTCCTGAAATCATGTGTCCAAGGAAAGACACCTTGTTCAGGCAGAACTCGCACTTACTAAACTTAGCATATAATTGGTGCTCCTTAAAAGTCTGTAGCACTAACCTCAAATGCCTTTCATGATCCTCACGAGTTTTCGAGTAGACCAAAATATCATTAATAAATACCACAACAAATTGGTCTAGGTAAGATTTGAAGACTCGGTGCATTAAGTCCATAAATGCAGCTGGAGCATTCATCAATCCAAAGGGCATGACTGCAAATTCAAAATGCCCGTACCGCGAATTAAACGCGGTCTTAGGGATATCCTCCTTCCGGATCCTTAATTGGTAATATCTCTGTCGAAGGTCCAGCTTAGAAAATATAGCTGCACCCTGTAGTTGGACAAACAACTCATCAATCAGTGGCAGGGGATATTTGTTCTTAATCGTGAGATTATTTAGTCCCCGGTAATCAATGCACATTCGTAAACTTCCATCCTTTTTCTTTACAAATAATACCGGGGCTCCCCAAGGAGATTCACTTTTCTGAATAAATCCTCGATCCAATAATTCCTGCAACTGTATTTTCAATTCCTTCAGTTCCGCAGGAGCCATGCAGTAAGGGGTTTTCAATATTGGTTCCGCCCCGGGTTGCAGATCAATCTTAAATTCGATTTCTCTTTCTGGCGGTAGTGAGGTCAACTCTTCGGGAAACATCTCAAGAAACTCACACACCACCAGCACATTTTCTACTTTTAATTGCTCTCCTTGGGTATTAATCAACATGGCCAAAAACCCTCGGGCACCCTTACTTAGCAATTTTCGGGCCCGAATCCCAGAAATAAGAGTGGTGGAGGCTAACTTCTCTCGTACATATAATTGCAATGTAGGCTCACCCGGTATGTGAAATTCAACCTTTTTCGTACTGCAGTCTAGGCGTGCATGATACTTAGCTAGCCAATCCATACCTAATATAAGATCGTACCCAAAAAGAGCTAATTCTATTAAATCTACCGATAACTTTCGTTCCCCTATCCACACGTCACAGCCTTTGTACATCATATTGGCAAGGATGCTCTTATTGCTAATGGGAGTCTTTATTTCTAAATCAGATGGCAGCTTTCCTGCTTTAATATCTATATGTGCCATAAATGCAGGACTCACAAAAGAATAGGTAGCACCAGGATCTATAACACCCTTACGATACGCCGAAATATAGAAGGCGTACCTTCGATGACTACCGAAGGGTCAGTCACCTCCTGATGGCCCAAAGCATAAACCCGCGTAGGCACTTTTGGTCGGTTCCCTGCTGCATTTTCTGGTTTTGGCGTAGTCCCTTTTGCCCGTGAAGTGCTTCCTTCAGTCCGCATATTTGGGCATTGTGCAATCAGATGCTCTGTACTGCCACACTTAAAGCATTTCCTGACTGCACTATTTTTCCAGCAATTATCGGCAGTATGGTTGCCTCCACAAAAACCACAGGTCTGTCTCGTCCCTGTAGTCGCCCCTCCTCTGTGGCCACCTCTTTGGGGCCCTCGCCCCGCTTGTCCCTTTCCAGCATTTCCCTGGTTTGAAGTCTCCGTCGATCGTGGACCTCCTGCTCCCCTCCCCATTTTAGTGGGCGGCTCGTTCCTCGAGCTTTGTCCGACATTAAAGTTTCCGGTGCCCGGCTGCCTTCTCTTTCTATCATGGAATGCCTTTACTTGACCCCGGGCTGTCTCAATCCTCTGCGCTTTTTCTAACGCCTGACTAAAAGTATCCAACTGAGCAGCGGCCAACGCTTCTTGAATCTCCACGTTCAATCCCTGAACAAAGCGGCGGATCCGCTTTTGCTCCGTTAACACCAAATCCGGAGCGAAACGAGACAATTTAGTGAATTGGGTCTCGTATTTGGCAACACTTAGCGCCCCTTGGCGCAGGTGAATGAAATCATCCTCCCGTCTCTCCTATACCATCGGCGGAAGGTATTTCTCATTAAATTCCCTGGTAAAGTTAATCCAGGTCCAGGGGGTCCGCTCTCGTTCCCATTTTCCTTTTACCATATTCCACCACGCCCGAGCTGGCCCTTCGAATTGAAAGGTAGCGAACGATACTTGCCGCTCCTCCGTATATCCCAAGGCGGCAAAAATATCCAGCATACGCTTCAGCCAGCCCTCCGCCACGTCAGGGCTGGGTCCTCCTATGAATTTAGGGTTGCAAATTTTTGAAACTGCTCTAAAGCGCGGTCCTCCCCCTCATGGTTCCCCCTACTACTCCCAGGGTTTCCGGCGTTATTTCCCTGACCCTGGCCCTGTTGGGCGACCATTTGCTCAAGTAAATCAGCCATTCGCTGGATGGTTGTAGTTACCTGGTTACTTTCAGGTTCATTTTCTACCTCGAGGCCTCGACCTCGCCTCCTACCTCGACCTTGACCACCGAAGTCCATTTTTAAGTGCAAAAAGCTAAAAGAAAAATGAAAATGAATTACGAAAACATGAAACACAAAACATTTCGTAAAACATAAAGCAAACGCTTATATATACCAGCCAGAATAGTATGTACACACATATACAAATGCACGCCAAAACTATACAAATTACCCGACATCCGGTCGGGGCAAAACCCATTCTATACAAGAGCACCTCAGCTCCCAAAAACTAGCAGATCAAATTCGGATGCAAAAGATGGATAAGTAGAACAAGAGTCACATAGGCGGCCCTAAAGCGCCTCCCCCAGGGGCCCAGTCCCCAACCGAGTCCAAGGTATCAGCATCCTCCATCGGCTCCGGTCCGGTGGCCCTGGGTGGCACCTCCGCGACCACATCTAACACAATCTCACAGTCAGCTATCACATCCCGGACCCGCTCCCGTAGCTGCCTCTTCATAGCGAGGAGGTGCAGGTGCATGTTGTGTAACTGACGACGGAAGGAATCTGTCCTCTCCTCCTCATCTCTAAGGCTCTGCTCCATCTCCCTAAGGTGTATAGCCTGGCCGTGGGTCACTCCCCTAGCCTCCTCAAGCTGCCTGGTCAGGCGATCAACTGCCTTCCCCAGGCGGCGTCTCTCGTCGTCCACCGCCAGGACGACCTCATCTGGGTAGCCATAGGTGAAACGACACTCACAAGGTCGGTGCGACATTCTACCAAAGGGTGAATATAGAGTGTAGGACTCCCCCGGCCTCCTCTGGTAACAGATCACCCGCCTATGCGTTACCCAGTTCACCGGGCCCCCCGCACTCGAAGGTCTCGGCACCGGTCCTAGTCCCACACCACTGGGTCCCGCACCACTCGAACTGCCTGAATCCATACCTACAAAACATTAATTCGTCAGTTTGCCGACATTTTAGTTTAAAATCTAGCATTCATCTTAACCGAATCAAATTTGCTAAGTACCCATCGTATAGGACCCGTTTACTCACATCCTCTAAACTAGGCGCTCTGATACCACCTGTGAGGCGTACCAAAGGGTTTGGCGGACTGCTTGCCTAGCTCGCGGTAGGACTCGAAAACGAAAAGTAAATAACAGAGACTAAATACCAAAAGATACTATTTACAATCATACATCTTCAAGAGTGACATTCCAGTCCACCACATCATACAAAAACGAGAATTAAAACCAAAAGTGGACCTTAAGCAGCATCCTAACCCAAACTATGAGAATCAAGAAAGACACCCTAGAAAGTCCAGCTAGTATAATTACCAAGGTCAATTATAGGGATATAACTCTCGTGAAGTGGGATCCCCGCGTACGGCCCCTATTGAGGAATTAACAAAGAAAAACGGATAAGCTTAAAGCTTAGTAAGCAAGCAGGGGCAAAATGGTAATTGTACATCAAATCAGACATTTATGTCACGATTATATCAAAATAAAAGCAAAAGTAACAAAACAATGCAAGGATACAGATTAGCTCCAAAGCCTGGTCATCCGCCATGCGTGATCACCTGTCGACCCTCCGTCAACTACAAGAAAAGGTCCGTAGAACTCCACTTTCTTCCTCCGACCACCTAATATCCACTCTGGCCAGCATCCACACACACACTGTGACGCCCCGAAAGAATGAGTGTGAGAACCCGAAAATTTTTTAATTTTCTAGGGTTTATTTTTTTTAAATCGCCCGCCTTTTCTACATTTTCTTGATTAGAAAAAATTCCCCAGATAAAGTTTATGAGCAAAGATAGTTTTAAAATGATTTTTCTAGTATCAATTAGTTTTTGAGAAATTAAGAGCTTATACCGGACGTGGGACCCGCTAGTGTGATATAATTTTGGTGACTAAGTGAATTGTGTGCTAAGTGTTATTATTTTACAAGGTGCTAGGAAATGATTAGAGGGTGGTTATATGATGTAACCATTGGGAGCCAAAGGATTAAAGAAAATACTAGAAGGGCCAAGTGTCACAAACCCATTGCAAGTTGGACCTTTGACTAAGACCATGATTTCTTCTTCTTATCTTGACCAAACCTTTTGTTTTCATCATTTCTTATTCTTGTAAGCATGATGAACGAAATTTTGAGAGAAAGAGAGAGAATATCCAGCATCTTGCACCTCAATTTCTTCCTCCAATCTTGAGTTCTAACCGATTAAATTGCAAATCACTCCATAAAACTTGCTAGCTAAGGAAGATTGAAGCTATTGGTGGAGTTGTTTTGGAAGAAAAATCCCTAAGCCATCACCTTTCTTGATATTTCAAGGTATTATGTCTAACCATCCTTTTGATCTTGATTTTGTTAAATTAATGATTTGTGATGGCTAATGAGATGTTTTAGTGGAAGATTAGCACTTGAATGCAAAAATTTCCAGATTAGGGTTTTCAATTTCCCCAATTCTGCCTGACACTGTTCATCATAGTTAGAGGCCGAATTGGCCTTAGCACAAAACATGCAAGTTGTAGAGAATGAGGTTTTATAGTTTCCTACAAAATTTCAGCTCAATCCAAGTTCGGTAGCCTGTGAAAAGACCAAAATACCCTTGCTGCCCTGTTTCTGTCCGAACCTGGAAATCAGCTTTGGTAATTGATTAGTTTGACTAGGAATACTACTGATTTGGTTGTTGATGTCTTCTTAAGAATTCTAGCCTTGTATCTTAGCTTTTAAATGGCTTTGGAATTACCTGATTTGGAGTTGTGTGTGCTGAGTTATGACTGAATGAATCAGGACTGCCACAGTGAGCTTCGAACTAGAAAATCTGGGGTTGTTTTGGTAAATATGACCTAGTTAGGGTGAGAACTAGACTGAGTGGTCTTCATTAAAGTTGTATGGAATGATATTTTAGAGGTGCCTGCAAAATTTCAGGTCAATCGGAGTTGCGTAGCTTGAGAAAAGATGGAATTACCCTTGCTGCCCTAGTTTTACCCGAATTTGGGAATTGCTTCTGTAATGGGTTATTTTGGTTGGGAATGCTTTGGAATTGGTTGCTGAGGTCTTCTGATGTATTGTATCCCTGTTTCTTAGCTTTCAGCTGGTTTTGGAATTTCTGGATTTGGACTTGGATAGCCTGATTTATGATGTTTCCGCTAGAATGCGTTCTGTGAATATGTTTTTGTCATTCTGGTATAGTTTCTTGCATTTTTGACCTTGTTACACTCGAAACTGGGTTGAGTGATCTTCTGCAATATTGTAGCCCTATCTCTTAGTTTCGAAACGGTGTATCTTGTACCTTCATCCGACAATCGTAGCGCCTTTGGTACCATTACCGCAAAATGACGTCAAAACTGTTTTTCTGGTTTTGAGCTTAACTTTCATTTCCGGACTTTTCCCTAGCTTGACTTGTACTAGTACTACTTGGAGCTTGCTGAATGGCTATTGGAGGAACTTGTTGTTGTGTGTGTACCTTTGGGACTGGCTGAAGAAATAATGAAGCCATGATGGCTGGAAAAGTAAGCAAATTTAGGGGAAGTGCTGTCCGAACTTTTAAAGGACTTGTTTACATTGAGTTTGTGATCTAAGACTTGGATTTGAGCAAGGCAATGTTACATGATGGATGATTTCTGAGCCATGGAGGTGAGTGACCTCAAACTACTTCTAAAGTTATTTATGAACTGTTTCTTACATTATTTACTTTTGAACTGTTTCCAAAGTCACTTTTGAAATGTTTTCTTGCATATCATGTGTGCTGGCATTTGAGTGTGCCTTGTTTGCTATATTTCTTGACTTCATGACTTGTATTTTGGTTGATAACGTGTTAAGCGCTTATAATGATTTCCAAAACGAGTTTTCGAGGCGAGTGTGTACTTTATCGCACTCGACCTCAATAAATGTGAAATTTTCGATTGAAATGTTACTTGCGCATGAATGTAAGTGTGAGAACCCTCATTTTTAAAATACAATTTCCCCAAACTACATGCCTTGCACCAAGATTTAAACCACCTCTTATATGCCCTAGCATTATATTTCACAATGTGTTACAACAAATCCCTTGTATGGAGCCTCACTTTAAAACACAATTTTCTTATTTACATGCCTTATTATAAGATCTAGACCATTTAATATATGCCCTTACAAATTATTTTCTATGTGTTATAATAATTTCCATGCATTTCATTTCAATTCATTTTACTTGAAGTAAAATATATCCTTGAGCTAGGTTGTAAATAAATCACCACTTGTAATTGTCCAAGTGTTCTTTTATTAGTGGTAGAGACTTTATGTGAGAGATTAGAGGTGTTGAATAATTATTGGTGCATTTGGAAAGGTAAGAATGGCATTAGTCAAAGAATTAAGAGAAGTTGTGTACAAGAATTAGGCCAAGTGGCAAAATCCTAGCCAAGCATCTTGTTTGACCAAAGATTAGATGAATTTTAAACCAATTTTTACTCCATTCCTCCACCATGATTTCGTGCCCTTCTTAGCTTCCAAGAGAAGGAGAGAAACTCCATTTTAAAGTTTTCTAAACCTAGTGTGAGCTTGAGAGAAAAATCAAAAGAGAAAGATCTAGAGTTAGTGAGAAACTTTCCTCCAATCCTTGTGGTTGTTCCAAGCTTGAAGCTTTCATTTTGGTGGATTGTTTTGGTGATTTGAGCACCTTGTAAGTAAGGTAAGTACTCTTTAATTTGGGGGTTTTATGTGTTAGATCATCTACTATAAGCTCTAATCATGAATTGCAAGTTGTTGTGGTTGGAATTGAAAGTTAACCCCTTGAATTAAACAAGTAGTGGATGAATTGTTAGTATGCACACCAAGTGTTTGATGAAATGTTCAACTCTTATTCATTTATGTTTATGAGGTATTGATATGTTTTAAAACCTTATATGGTTAGATGTAATACTTGAGATGTGCAAAAGGTGAAAATAATGAGAAGAGTGAAAGTTGGGAAAGAATTAAGGATGCTGACCGAAACTGTTCAGCTTGCTGTCCGGTTTTTGCCCTGATGTTTCATGCATATTTTGGCTACAAATGTGAGTGATATATGTTGGGTTATGTGTGTAGAGGTTGTCTACAAAAAATTAGCCAATTTGGTTGAGTAAATTTTGAGTTGCAAGCAAAGGGACAAAACTGGACTAGGTCCAGAAACTTTCTGTTCAGCGATGTTGTAAAGGCTATAACGTTTTACTCACTGATCTGAATAGAGTACCGTTTGTGGCATTGGAAAATAGACTCTTAGAGCTTTAAAATGGTACCTGGCTCATGTTCTGGTTTGTCCCGAGTAATCCGTGGCAAGTCGTGGAAGTCGGCTGCCCGTGCGGTACTGTTCATCCGAGGCAGTCCAGAAATTTCTTTTGGCTTCTTAATTTTGAGCCACTTAAGCTGGGATTTTGGAAATGGTTTCTTCATGACAAATTTAACCTTAAGAACCTAGTTTCCAACGCAATTAACGGAACCTAATTCTGAGTCTCCTACCATGAACAGTGACCATTTTCCCGAGGCTGGTCGGGAGAGACAGTTTAACCGTAATGAAACTTTTGAGCTTCGTTGAAACCCTTCTTTTGCCGAACTTTCATGTACATACCAAACTTGTTTTCTTATCAACTTTTCCCATGGTTTGGACCTCATTTGCATGATAGATTAAGTAGCTTAGGCTACTCACTTGGTCTCTTAATGAACCTATACTTGAGTAAGGAACGAATCCAATTGTTAATGGTTTCACTCGTTGACCTAGGTTTGGGCAACAAAGGTGATCGTAACTGAGACGTTTGATGTCAAT